TGAAAGTGTAATCAATGTCTTTGAATTCAAATGTCTTTGGATTTATGTGAGAAAGAGCTGTTTTGTTTGTTGAACAAAATTCAAATTTGATCATAAACCCTTCAGATTTAGCGCTGAACATGACGGGTCTAAGAAGAGGAAGCTTTGTGTTGTTTTCCTGAAGCACATATTCACTGAATCTGAAATACAATTACCTTCACTTTCATATGTGGTCAATAAAACAGAACACAGATGTGGAAAAGGAAGTGCTAAAAATAAATTCTGCTTCTACGATCTTGATACTCAAGAAGAAAAACAAGCCTTGATTCCTTCTGGTATTGAGAAGAAACATCTAGAACAGGGAGGTCAAACTCAATTCCTGGAGGGCCGAAGCCCTGCACAGTTTAGTTCTAACCCTGCTCCAACACACTTACCTGTAGGTTTCAAACAAGCCTGAAGGACTCAATTAGTTTGATCAGGTGTGTTTAATTAGGGTTGGAACTAAACTGTGCAGAGCTGCGGCCCTTTTGGAACTGAGTTTGACACCTGTGATCTAGAAGAATGAGAAGCCTGATGTTTCTGTTCTCTGATTATTTGCCAGTGTTTATTTACATTTTGTTTTACCATATAGCTCATCATATGTTTTTGTCTTTTTGTGATATTGTGCATGTCTTTATTTTTCAGCTACAGCTGCAATCGAATCCGCACATACAGTCTGCTGTCTAGACTTCGCTGATGTAATGTTGCCTCTGAAGAAAATAGTTTCTTACTTCTGGACCTGCAGTCCCTGTCCCATAAAAGCCATTGTGTGAGTCTCATCTTAAACATTATTCCAAACAGTAAAGCCAACCGGAATCAGAGACTTTCTCTTAAAATTGTGTCATTTCTTGTTTTTTTTATTTTCACATTAGGTTTAAGACAATTTCAGGGAGAGACATCTGTGTAGATCCTGAGAGCACCTGGGTGCCAAGCCATGTCGCTAAACTGGACAAAAGATCCTCTCCTGTATCCACATCTGCTACAACATTTCTTGCATTCATAACTACAACATAATCTCCTGCATCCGCATTTGCTACAAAAGAAACTCCTTTATCCACATCACATTCTCATTTGAAAGGCATTATGTAAGTTTTAACTTTAAAATATTCTCATTTTGAAATTTGTGACAAAAGATGGCAAAAGGGATTTTGTTTAAGCCAGCAATGAGCTAAAATCAGAACGTAAACTTTTCTGTCTTCAGGGTCACAACACCTTGGACTAAATTTTGTGTAAAAGCAGTCAAGGGCTGGATACACCTCTGATGGAAAAACTAATGTAAATGGAACATCTTAAAATTTCATCAATAGTTTTTATTGATTATTTGATGAAATATATATATATATATATATATATATATATATATATATATATATATATATATATATATATATATATATATATATATATAGTAGATGTCATAATTATTAGGCTCCCTGAACTATAAGCCCCCCAAACCCAACCCCCCCCCCCCCCTTTTATTTTTTTCCCAATTTCTGTATAACAGAGAGAAGATTTCTTCAACACGTTTCTAAACATAATAGTTTTAATAACTCATTTCTAATCACTTATTTATTTTATATTTGCCATGATGACAGTAAATAATATTTGACAAGATATTTTTAAGACACTTCTATACAGTTTAAAGTGACATTTAAAGGCTTAATTAGGTTAATAACAGTAGGTTAACTGGGCTGGTTAGGGTAATCAGACAAGTTAACAATGGTTTGTACTATAGACTGGCGAGAAAAATATAGCTTAAAGAGGCTAATAATTTTGACCTTTAAACTGTTTTATATATATATATATATATATATATATATATATATATATATATATATATATATATAAAAGCTGCTTTTAATCTAGCCGAAATAGAACAAATAAGAGTTTCTCCAGAAGAAAAATGAACATTAACGTTGTTAAAAATTATTTGGGAAATATTTAAATAAGAAAAAAAAGTTAAGGGGGGCTAATAATTCTGACTTCAGAATTATATATACAAATATATTAAAGTAACACAATATGCTATATTAATGATATATTAAAAATGAATGAATAAATAAATACTAATATTGTAAAATAATATCTGTAATCAAGTACACTGTAACAACTTAATGAAGAAAAAAGACAAACATTTTAGACGTCTGTTGTTTGTACATTCAAAGACAAAGTTTGAAAGATACAGTGCAGCTCAATTGATTTATTGGTTTATATAATAAAAATAAATGATTTGGAATGTTTGTATTTGAGACAAAATTGTTGTTGAAGTTTAAAGAATGAAGTTTGTTGGTTTCCCCTTCAGGTTTATGACAAGAACAGGAAAAGAGATCTGTGTAAATCCAGAGAACGCCTGGTTTAAAACCCTTGTTGCTAAACTAGAAAGCAGAATGAAAACCTAAAAGAAGCTAGAAAGTATCTTTTTGAACTTTACAGCATACATTTAACCCATATAATATTACCTATGTGTGTGAATATACAGCAAAAATTAAATATTGTCAACTTATTTTATGTGAATGATTGACTTGCTTATAAACATTCTGAAAATAAACTTTTAATTAATTAAAGCGTGTTTGTTATTATTCTTAAATATCTTAAGGAGGTTAATGTTTTAGGTGTGTTATCTAAACCTATATTTAAATATAAATATTTATAAAAACCATGAGAATAGAAAATAAAACCATGTAAAGCCTCTTGTCCACTGCTGCAGAAATAAACCACAAATCTGTAACTGTAAAATAGATGTTTTCTGAAATATCTGTAAATTTCACAGTAATTTTTTTTTCAGTTTTCAGATTGTCAGCAAAATGAAACTTTTTATCATTAATTTTCCACTAGACATAAAAAGTGGTTTGACTTGTACTTTCACAGTAAACAAGCAATCAAAACAAGAAGTACTGTGTTCCAGTAACATTAAGCCTTTATTTCAGACATTTGAGATTGAGATTTAAGTTTTCCTGGTGTTTTTATGAAATACAAGCTTCAAATCAATCCAGATGTGCTGAATCATTCATAAAAGAACTCGGATGATCTTTTCAAGTTCATCCTTTTTATCTGTTATATTATATACCCAGATAGTTACAAATATGAATTCAAATGACCACTGACTGTGCAAATACTCAAACACTGTAAAATATAGCTGTTAATCAACAGTTTCCGTATTTTATGATTCACAAGGGTTTTCTGTTTATTTATGGTTGTGAATTGCATAATGGGTACTTGATCTTTGTCCACTTTTGATGTTGAAAATCCAACTCTACAGTTTAACAAAGTGACTTTTATTGACAATTTTAGTAACTTAAAAATAGTATATCTGCGGGCCCGGGGTCTTAAAAGGTCTTAAAATGTCTTAAATCTCAAAAGCTGAATTTTAGGTTATAGGTCTTAAACCTTTGTTAACAGGCATTAATTTTCTTTTGTTCATGTATAGCTACCCAATCTGACTGTTAACACCCATACAATCACCAACAATCCCAACTTTTTATTTAAAAACAGCATTTAATTACTTTCCTTACTGTAACTTTTGTTGAAAAATTTATTTACTGCTGAAGATAATGACCTGACCTATATTTATTATTTAAAATATTTATAGAATATTTATTATTATTAAATGTATGAAATTATGATATTTTTAAAAATCTTTTCCAACCTGAATATTCAAGAAAAAAAACTTTATTTGTTCATTTAGCCATGTATAAGTCTAAAATTTCATTCATAATGATCTTAATGATGACTTCAAAAGTCTTAAATTTACCCTGGTGAAACCTGCAGAAACCCTGCGTATGTATAAAAGTTATATATAGAAAAATAAGTGTAAAATACAACACCAACACAGACAATAAATCACTTTAAACTATTCAAAATGTAAATAAAAGTAACTTTTTTGAACTTCAATTTCGAGGTTAAAAGTTATTGGAAAAAAGATTAAGGTCTCATAATGCAATTCAAATGCATAAATAAATGGTGGGAAATAAAAACATAAATCAAAAAATGCAGAAAACTGCTGATTTATGGATATGTTTTACAGTGTAGTAATATCGACATAATGTATGAATGAAAAACTGTTGTTGAAAAACTCTTGCAAACTGCTGACAAGGAACATTTAGAACGTTTTGTCTGACATTTTATGATGCGTTGGGACATTTTTCACTGTAACCAAGTTTTGTATTATTATTATTATTATCATATATATATATATATATATATATATATATATATATATATATATATATATATATATATATATATATATATTGTTGTTGTTTATCATATTTATATATATTATAATATTATTATTCATATTTATTATTATAACATATTTATTATCATATCATACTTATTATTATTATTATTATTTTGTATTTAGAACTTTTGTGTCTAAAATTATTTTTACTAAACATCCATACTCCAAAAATAAGTTATAAAAAATAAAAACTGACTGTTAGTCAGTCAATTAAAAACTCTCAGTTTAAAACTCTCTGTTAGTTCTGTTATTTATTATGTTTTGTAGACATGTTATGACACAACACTGTACTGCAGAACACTTCTGAAGCTATTGAGGTGGGATAAGGTTAGGGAAAGATTTGGTGGTATGGGTAGGTTTAAAAGTGGGTTAAGGTATAAGGGACTGTCAAAGGTGTCATTAATTGCAAATGTAATTACATATAGCCAAGTATTGGTACAATGTAAAAACGTATTTACACTATAATCACATTGTACCAGATTATTGGTTTCAGTGTGAGTACATACTAGTTAAGGCCACTTAATATAAGTTCCTATGCAGATAAAGGGTGAGACTTTAGTACTGACCACTAATCATGGTCTTAGAATTTATATGTGAGCAATGGCTCTAATATTTAGTGTACAAAATTTTGATTTGATTATAAAATCTTCAGATTTAGTGCTGAACATGGCAGAAAAGAGGAAATTGCATGTTGTATTCCTAAAACTATTTTTCAGCTAATTGTGGGGGAAAAAAGAGGACCTTATACTTTAACATGAACCATAAAGCGGAAAAAGAATGGGGAAAAGGAAGAGCTACTCCACTCCTCAGAAATGGATTTACATGAATGTGTTCATGAGGAATACCTCTCATGTGTATATAAGGAGACGTTTAGACCTCATTTAGAACACATCAGCTCTGAAATCTTCAAGCTCTCCAAAACATCTCCTGATTCCTTCTGTGATTGACAAGAAACGTCTAGAAGAATGAGAAGCCTGATGTTTCTGCTGGTTCTGGTGCTCTTCTGTTGTGTACAAGAGACTTCATGTGGTAAGTGCTCTTTTTTATTTTGAATATAATGTTCTCTGATTATTTTTATGGTCGGTTTTTATTTGTTGAATTTTGTCTTACAATATAGACAACAATATGTTTTGTGTTTTTTAATGGACAGATTTCTGATATTGTGCATGTCTTCATATTTCAGCTCCACTTGCAATGAATTCAGCAAAATCAGTCTGCTGTGAAGCGACCACTGATAAAAATATTCCTCTGAAGCAGATAATGTCTTACCAGTGGACCACCAGTACATGTCCTATAAAAGCCATTGTGTGAGTGTCATCTTAAACATTTTTTCAAACTGTGAAGCCAACCTGAAACCTAAAATTGTCTTATTTCTACTTTTTGTTGTTTTTTCATTAGGTTTAAGACAATTGCAGGCAGAAAGATCTGTGTAGATCCTCAGAACACCTTGGTGAAGAATCAAGTCGCTAAACTGGACAAAAGAACATCATCTACTACAGCATTATCTCCTGAATCCACATCTACAACAGCAGAAACTCCAGCAGCCACATCTGCTGCAGCATCTTCTTCTGAATTCACATCTGCAACATCCTCTCAAGCATCCACATCTGCTACAGCATTGTCTCATGAATCCACATCTGCAACATCATCTCCTGAATCCACATCTGTTTCAAAATCATCTCCTGAATCCACATCTGCAAAATCATCTCCAGCATCCACATCTGCTACAGCATTATCTCCTGAATACACATCTGCGTCAACAGTAACCTTTACTACAGAGTCTCACAGCACCTCAGATCAATCTGCAGTTATTTGAAAACATTAATTTTTATATTGCATATTCACTCTATTTCTAATGTATATTTGAACGTCTAATATTTTAAAAATTTGTTTACGCAAAATGGAATTTTGTTCATCTGTTTTAATAAAACACAAGCAAGCATCATCATCCAGTGATGTAATTACTTCTTTTCTGGATTTCCTGTAAGCATCTATTTCTTTAAACTGCATTTGCATGTATTTTTTATTACACTTTATAAAAAGGCTGTTTTTAAATAGGAACAGGCACAACTATCTGACAGTTTTTTTTAGATTACAAACACTCTGCAGCACAGTAAAGACACTTGGGTTCAGACTACACAATTGTGTCTATTACAAATAGCTATCATATTTCATTCTATTAGTTTTGACTCCTAAATCCTAAATTATTGTTAGGTTACAGACAAGAAACACATCACACCATAAAACAATAAATACAACAAAAAATAAACAGTTGCACTTGTGATTCACAGGTGTTTTCCATTTAAGCTTTTTACGTAGTTCATGACTTCTTTATTTTGGTCATTTTGAACAATATAATGTATAAGAAACATTATATATAGAAATAAATGCCTAAAATAACAGTACTAGTAACCTTATTCGATATTTGTACCCTAATATACATGACCAACCCAGACAATATCATTTCTAAAATATGAAACCTGTCAGTAAATGTTGCTGTGTTAAATTTTTGAACATCAAAAGTTGTCTAAGCAGTGGTCAAGGTCTCATAAATTAGTATGAAAAAATATGTTCATTCATTTTCTTTTCGGCTTAGCCCTTTTATTAATCTGAGGTCGCCACAGCAGAATGAACCACCAACTTATTCAGCATATGAAGAGCATGCCCTTCCAGCTGCAACCCATCACCGGGTAAACATCCCTATACACTTATTCACACACATACTCTACGGCCAATTTAGCTTACCCAATTCACCTATACCACATGTCTTTGAACTTGTGGAGGAAACCCACACAAATAAGGGGAGAACATGCAAACTCCACACTGAAATACCAACTGACCCAGCCAAGGCTCGAACCAGTGACCTTCTTGGTATGAGGCTGGGTACTTTTGGCTAATTCTGGGTACTTTGATTTTAGCAGAATACATCTGGGAGAAAGGAAGGAACGAATGAAAGAAAGAACGAAAGAAAGAAAGAAAGAAAGAAAGAAAGAAAGAAAGAAAGAAAGAAAGAAAGAAATAAAGAAAGAAAGAAAGAAAGAAAAAAAAGAAAAAATAAGAAAGAAAGAATACTTTTGGAATTTTTAATAATATGTGTTACACTCTCAAAAAATTTGTTGAACTATTTTAATTTTTAAAAACATTTACAAATGTTTTTTTTAATGTTTACTTGTAGATACCAGTCACTGCAAAATGTGTGATGTTATCAAGAAGGCAAAACAATAGTAACTACTGATTACATTCTTTTTACAAATTTTGAATATAAAATTTAATTTAATAATTTTTATATTATATTAAAGTTGCCATGTGAACTTCCTAATTAAATAATATTATTAAATACATAGAAAAAATACTTTAATTGTATCAAAAATTATGTATATTTTACATTTTAAAATGTACTTCTTACAATAACCATTAACATAAACAATCTAACAAAAAAATCCCTTAATAGTGAAATATGTGTCCTAATAGTTTTTTTTTAGCAACATGCCACACATATATATCTGACAGCATCTAAAAAACATAATGTGTTTTAGAGTTTCATGACCCTTTAAAAATCTGGTTAATTCAGGTTTAATTGAAACATTTAATATATATCAGTTATCAGTTAATATCAGTTTTTTTTTGTAGCTCAGCATTTAAACAAACAAACAAAAGGTTATGTAAATTTAGAAATGATAATCCCTGTTTGAGGGATTCGCCCCAACCTTCCCCATCATTTGTCCATGTCTTCTCATATTGGTTGGATAGGCTCCCTATGCCCTACTAGGCCAAAGTGTGCCAAAGGTCTAGTGTGCCAAAGTTGGCCAATGGTAACCTTTGATTTGGCCCCTATTTTGGGCATCTCTAATTTAGAGCATTTATTTTCAGACTATGACAGTGAAAAATAACAATAAAAACATATGTTTATAACAGTTTTTTTCAGTCACTTTGTTGCATTTCTCACAACACTATTTACATTTGCGCAAAAGTTAATGCATTTCTCAAAACAATTAGTGCAAACTGCAAAACCTAGCTGATAACCTGCCAAAGTGTGCCACTTGCTTAAAATGGATTGTTACTTCCTCAAAAGCAAGTATCCATGTCAATTAAAGTGTCAGTGTCATCAAAATGAAAAGTCCTGACATCATTGTTTATGAACAGGATAGTCAAATGACTGTCATGTTTTTATTATGATGTTAACTCTCTACATTTTTTATATGAGAAAAAGTACGATTTTGGTGACACGTCCTGAAAATGCTCAAGACAGCACTATATGCAACAGTTTTTCTCAGTCGCTTTGGTACATTTCTCACAACACTATTTAAATTTGCACAACAGTTAATGCATTTCTCAAAACAATTAGTCCTTTGTGCACATCATAGTAGCAGTTTCTCATTCCTTCTAACAAATTGCAAATGCTTTTGAACATGCATCAGTTGCTTTTATACAACTCTCTGCTGTTTATAGCATTATCATTTGCTTATGTCAAGTCAGTCAAAATGAACTAAACTTGTGAATGCTGAATAGTCATTCCATATAAATCTAATGCCGAGTTCAGACTGCGTGATTTTAGCCCCGATTTTGGCTCGCCGACAGGTTTTGAGAAATCGCCGACAAATGCCTGAAATCACAGGCAAATCGCTGCTCGTCCACGTGAGTGACAATCACACAGTATGAACGATCACAGACGCGATCTGAGAGAATCGCAGATGAGTTGCCGATGTCTGTGAGATATTTGGCGTGCTAAATATCTGGAGCTGTCGGCGATTCAAATTATGCTGTGTGAGTTGAGTTTTGACTGAAAATAAAATCAGAGATCGCCTACAGCCAATGAGAGAGTGGCATTCACTTGCGTGTGCGTGTGTGTAAACCTGCTGCAGGCCAGCGGGAGGCTGGGGGAGAAGTTAAAAGCGCTCTTTTTCGGTTTATTTGGACACACGAAATGGAGGAAAAACTAGTGGAGGTTTGACAGGACTGAGGACCAACCGTGTCTGTTTGACGTTTCATACAGAAAGAAATTAGTTTATTATCAACGTTGAGGAGAAATGGCTAATTCCCTTTAAACCCAGGTGAGCAAACATGTACACGTTCTACCCCATTAAAGGCTTCTTTCTCATTGTGTAGTTAATAACAAAAGATATACTACATGTTTTTGGCTGTGAGACGTAGTTTGGACGAAGTTGTCGGCGATTCTCCCTATAGTAAAGTCATGCAATGCAGTGTAAACAAAGCAGCGACGAAACGCTAGCCCAGATAGTCATGCAGTGTGAAAACATCTGTGACTGTGACACGACTAGTTGGAAAACCATGAAGTCTGAACTCGGCTTAAGAGTCCTCCTTGACTCTTGAACCTTGAATTTACTTTGCACAATATTTCCTTCATAAAGAGGGTAAAATGCTGAGAGATCTATGACACAACACCATCACCTTCAGTCACGTCCTCTTTTCTTCTTATAAGTGCTCCATCTGAATTATCTGGGTTAAAGTTTTACTTTCAAGTTATTATTTGTTTTTCCTAAAACTTTAACAGGCAACAAGTAGTGTATAGACAAAATACAGTAGTAAAGTAACTGTAATATAGAGTGGAGTCAGCTCTGCTGCTCATGAATGAACACGTCTCCTTCTTTGAATATTTGCAGCTGTGAAAGTTAATACTGAGAAGTAAAACAGAAGTAGAACGCGGATGAGGGAAGGAAACAGCTCAAACCTGTCAACACGCTAATCCTCAGAAGAGCATTTACTTGAACAATAATAAACCTACTCAGTAGATCAGTAACAAAAGGTTATTCTGTGGAATAAACACATATTTTCTACTGTCAAACTTTCAGATTGGTTTCTTTTTTTAAGTCAAGTTTATGTGAAATTAGAAGATTAGGGTGGCATGGTGGCTCAGTGGTTAGCACTGTCGCCTCACAGCAAGAAGGTCTCTGGTTTGAGTCCCTGCTACAATTGGATTCAATAAGTTGGTCGTAGTGTATGTGTGTGAATGAGAGTGTATGAGTGTTTCACAATACTGGGTTGCAGCTGGATGAGCGTCCGCTGCATAAAACATATGCTGGAATAGTTAGCGGTTCATTGAGCTGTGGCCGCCTCTGAAATAGAGACTAAGCTGAAAGAAAATGAATTAAATCTTGATTATTCACTCAATCTGTTTTGATTATTCACTCAAACTATTTAGAAAGTGCTAGTAAATTTAGCTAAATAATTACAAAAAAAGCTAATAAAAATGAATAAAATATTAAATTCTGAAGTAGAAAAACTGTATTTTAATAAGATAAATTTTACTACAGTTCAATTGAAAAGGAATAGATTCATTTAGACTATTACTTAGGGTATTTATCACTGAATACTGATTTACACACACAACTGTTGTTGTTATTATTAATTTATCAGTATTTATTCATCCTCCGTTTTTTCCTTATTCTCTTTACCAGGTAAAATTGTTATTATTTTATTATCAGTATTTATTTATTCATCTACAGCATGATTATTACCTCTATCATTGGTTTGGTTTAAATTTTAGAATAGTTTGGCAAATAAATTGCTCAATAATAATAATAAAAACCAAATGATAACAGCTACTCCCATATTTAATTGTCAATCATGAAACATTACAACCAATATCTCGACAGCTAGCTCTCTCATGATCATCCACTAAAGCTAAGCAGGACTGCGCCTGGTCAGTACCAGGATGGGAGACCACATGGGAAAGCTAGGTTGCTGCTAAAAGTGGTGTTAATGAGACGTGTATGTACAATTAGTGTTTTTCAGCCAATGAAAAACTTCCGAAAGCTTTATGTGACTATTTTTCAATTTCACTTGGTTCCTTTTACAGCATCGATGGTGTAATATAATTCAAATATAATCAGTTAAATAGACTTAAGCATCCATTTGGTTGTTAAAGCATAAGAGGCAGGGCATCATCATTAGCAGCAGACTATAGCGCAAAAACTT